AGAGTTTCTTCAAGTAAAGCTATGAACTTAAACACTGCAGGTTTACTTGTGCTTCCTAGAGTTTCTAAAAGTAAAACTAAGAATTTACACTGCAGGTTTACTCGTGCTTCCTAAAGTTTCTAAAAGTATAATGGTACATTCTGATTTTACATTTACTGCATTAAAAAAAGACAATCACGTGTACAAATGATCTTTTATTCAAGAATCTACATGAAGGTGCCATCAGACTGTACTCTTTACTCGTTTTATAGAAAATAAAGTCTAAATAGAAGCACAAAAATCTCTACAACACTCAGTTCTATAGCGTCCTGATCAAGTCTATGATTTGAGTACCTACAATCCCACAAGTTTACATTCGCTACCAAAAATGAAAGGAAAGCTCATTCAAAACGAGGGAGAATTTAAAAAAATAACTACCGTACATTATCACACAACATTCCAGTTCTTTAAGAGTAAAAATTTCAACCGATCACCTGAGTCGTGCAAAAATCTAAAGTCCGACGACACCCGAGCTTAAATCCCGCATGGCAACCAGGTTGTGTTCATTTAAACAACCCAGCCCTCGTATTTTATTACGATACAAGAATAAAATCTATTTTTATGCTTCGAAGTTCAAAAAGCCTCGAGTGTTTGTTTTTTTCCACTGCAGTGAAACTTAAACCGAGCGGGGGAGAAAAACACAAACCGGTTTCCAAACGAAAGCCGCACAGGTCCAAGTAGCAGCTTTTTACAGGCAAGTTACAAAAATAAATGTCTAAAAGTCACAGGACTTTAAAATATGTCAGCTGGATAAACATTTCACCCTGTTTCCCAAAGCTTTAACCAAGTTTTTTATACGTTAATGCCAAAATCTCAACAGGCAAAACAAGTTCTCCACTCAACATGGCACCTTATCTGATTTTTGTTTTTTCAAGATATAAAAGTCTACAAAGCCTTTATTTTCACAGACAATAAAATGGCACATTTAGGAGTCATAAACATGAGAAATCAGAGCACAAAGAGGAGAAAATGTACCAGCGCAGGTGACTTTATGGCAACAGGTGAGTTCAAAGTGCAGAGAGGCGGCCGAAAATCAGAAAATGAAGCCGTGGCTTCTAAAAACAGAGGAGCCTATAGCTGGTCCTTTTTGTGCAAAAGTCTTTGACTCAGGGAGGACGTGTGTTTGGATCCGATGCTGTTAGTTCTGTGGAGTACGGAGGTGCTGACGCTGTGTGGGCGTGTCAGCGGCCATCTTGGAGGCTCAGCTGCTGCGGCTCAGTTTCCTGTATAAAGGTCCACAGTGCTGGAGCTCAGGCCCCGGCTCACCCCGAAGTTACCGCGTCCTCGAGCCTGACGGAGGAAAACAACACAAAATATAAATTATACAGAATGAATGGTACTGAAATTGATTTATTTTAATGAAGGGTTTTACCTGGAATGAGTCATCGCTCGTTTTGTTCAGGTAATTCAAGGAGGCGGCTCTCTTCATGCTGGAGGAAGAAAACCAGGAAACGGGTCAGAGTTCTGATCCGAAACAAAAAGCAGCTGAAGGTTCTGAGTCAGCGTTCACATCGTTCTTGATGATTTTTTTTTATATGGGCCGGTGTGCCAAAAATCGATTGGTTGCCAAATGGCGGCCGCGGGAGTGTGCACGGGAGGACTTTAGCAAGAATTTAACAAGATTAACATTTAAAAACAATTATTTGTTTGTTCGAAATTATAGTAAAGGTGTGTCTCAGTTTAACTTTTACTTAATAAATGCACTTTGACGGTCAAATCAGCTGCATTTTGCCGGGGCGGTGCAGCGAAATGAAGCTGATTCAGTTGCTCCAGGCAGACTATGGCAAGCCGACTGCGTCATTAATAGCCACTTTTACCTATTACGTGACACAACGGCATGCCTTACTACTCGAGCACCATCTAGTGGCTGAAAATGGTAATGTTCAATATTTTCAGTCAGAATGAATGAAAACCGTCATATCTCAAACAAAAATTGGTTTATAAATATGGGGGGAAAATCAATAAATAAGTCGATTCAGCGTATAAGTCGCAGGGCATGACTTATAGGGCCAAAAATACGGTATTCTATTTTAGCGTTTAGCTCGACTTTTGGAACTTTTGTCTTAGAACAAAACTTTTAAAAGACTTTTACTGACCCTGTTGCTACATTAGCTTTTAGCTAGTCTTTTAATACTTATAGCTCACATGTTGCTACTTATATTTTATAGAGAGCTTTTTGATACTTTTAGCTCTTAGCTATCCTTTTGCCACTTTTAGCTTCAAGTTGGTCTTATATTTTTTGTTGACCTTTTATTAGCATTTAGCTACCCTTTAGAAAATTTTAGCAACCCGCTAGCTATTTTTATTTTTGATATTATCTTGCCTTTTGCTGCTTTTAGCTTCAAGCTGGTCTTCTAATATTTTTTTGTTGACCTTTTCTTTAGCATTGAGCTAGCCTTTAGAAAATTTTAGCTACAAACTATTTTTTAATCTTTGATTGCCTTTTGCTACATTTACCTAGTCTTTTGCTGCTTTAAGCTTTTACCCAGCCTTTTGAGACTTTTAGTGACTCACTTGCTACATTAGCATTTAGCTATTCCTTTGAAACCTTTAGCTAGGGTTTTTCTACTTTCATAGTTAAACCTTCTCCACCTTACTGTAGTATTTTATCATTCAATTCAGTTTATTTATTTTATTATTTATTATATATTGTTATGTTAGCTACTTTTAATTCTAGCTACCTTTTAGATCCCTTTTTCTTCAAAAAGCCAAACAACTAGACATCTACAGACTAAAAGTCCAATAATTTATTTGTTTTTATTGTCACACCCTGGATGACCAAGCAGCATAGCCTTTTGAAGATTTTAGCCTCTAGCTAGCCTTTTAAAACTTTAAACTAGCGTTTCATCGTTTAAGCTGTTAGCCTTTTGTTATGTTTATCATCTATTTAGCATTTTTAAAGTTTAAGCAAGCTTTCTGCTTTTAGCTAGCATTTTGCTCCCTTTAAAACCCCAGTTTTAGCTGCTTCAGCTGTTTTCAGCAGTCATACGGCACAGACCTCAACTTTCACAGATAATTTATCCGAATGTAAATTTGATTTTTGGGGGAAATGTGAAGTGAATTCAAGGAAACCACTTTCACGTCAAAATTTACATGTGTTTCGCAAATAAAGAATTGTTTCGGCTGTTTTGGTTCGAGTGTTTTTACTTTGTGCTGCGGGGTTCTGGAGGTCCATTGCCCTGAAGTTTCTTCACCAGCAGCTCGCTGCTGCGACGTAAAACATCTCTGAGTTTTCCCAGAGAACCGCTGCGCTGCAGGGCTCCACTGCCGTCCTGTGAACACACACGCTCATCAGCTTTGGCTCACCCACCACCGAAAACACAAATGACTTTTCTGCAGATCAGCGTTTCCCGTTTCCATCCCAAGGCTCGGTCCAGTTAAACAGAAAGATCTTGAAATCCAGAAACAACAGATAAAGAGATCAACATGTATGTCGAGCCAGAGAAGTAACAAACCTCATTTAAAAACAGAAAAATTCACGTGTATTAACAGAAATTCTGACACCAACGCTGTAAAAGTTGTTCTGGGGGCCATTTTGGCTCCACACCAACAGTTTAATCACTTCAAACAGGGAGAATGTAAAATATTAAAAACATTTACGGTTTCTGAAAGCCAGGGGGCCGGACATCCAGCAGTTAGTCACTATTTAAATAATCTGGAGTTTTACAATGATCTGTTCTTTTTATTGTTTTATTGCATTGAATCATAAATGCAATAAACAGAACCCAAACCCCAAAACAGACCCCCCCGCAAAAAAAACAACAACTCATTGGTGGGCCGGACTAAAGTCGCCCGCGGTCCGGAAGTGGCCCGTGGGCCACCAGTTGAATAGCCCTGACCTAGCATTACTTGAAGGTTGCATATCACCCGCCACATTTCATCCCATACAGTCTTCTCTAACTTCACGTCTTTGGAGTTGTTTGGTCACGTGATCTCACCTCGTATCACAAGATCTCATGAGATCCGTGAGCGCTTTGTGTGTTTAGGATGACTCTCAGCTACTACCACCACAAATTTTAGCTCAACATCTGTGAAATTCACTGGATTGTTGCCACATTTGTGTCTGGTTGTTGAGCTGTGGCGGCCATCTTAAGTTCAACACTTTAGATGAACATCCTCGAGTTCCACTGGATGTTTGACTTGATGACAAACAGCTTTTCATGTTCGCTAATAAGAATGATGAGGTTTTTTATTATAATTTTTTTTTCCATTTTGTGGACGTAGAATCGGTGAGTTTTGGTTCACTGAACCAAAAAAACCCCTTCAAGTATCGACCTCACCTTGAAGTATAATTAGCATTACAAGTCATGAACCTATAAAATAAAAAAATAGAAAGTAAATGATCAGTTAGATCTTTGAAATCCCCAAATCAGTTCAAAACATCAGTAATTTATCCATCCATCCATTAATAAACAGAAAACTATTTTTGTACAAACCAGCCACCGTAGGTTTGTTTTTTTTCTCTTCTCCCTTGTCCTGTACCAGCCACCGTAGTAATAAAAATATCTTCTTTACCCCTGCTGGTGTGATGAGAAGTGTTACTGTAGAAACATGTTTTTATTACTGTGTTCCTGTGTTTGTTCGTTCCATCCATCCATCAGTCCATCCTTCCTTCCATCCAACATCCATTCTTCCTTTGTTCCATCCATCCTTTGATCTATTCACCAACCCAGCCTTCATTCTGTCCATCCACCCATCCATCCAGCCTTCGTTCCATCCCTACATTCATGCATCCTTCGTTCGTTACATCCATCCTTTCTTTGTTCCATCTATCCATCCTTTGATCTATTCACCCATCCATCCTTCCTTCGTTCCATCCCTACATCCATCCATCCATCGTTCATTCGTTACATCCATCCATCCTTCGTTCGTTCCATCCATCCATCCATCCTTCGTTACATCCATCCATCCTTCGTTCGTTACATCCATCCATCCTTCCTTTGTTCCATCCATCCATCTATCCATCCATCCATTTGTTCATTTCATCCATCCATCCTTCGTTCGTTACATCCATCCTTCCTTTGTTCCATCCATCCATCATTCATTTCATCCATCCATCCAACTGTTCATTTAATCCATCCATCCATCAGTTTGTTCATTCCATCCATCCATCCATCCATCCATCCATCCATCCATCCGTTTGTTCGTTCGTTCGTTCCATCCATCCATCCGTTTGTTCGTTCCATCCATCCATCAGTTTGTTCATTCCATCCATCCATCCATCCATCCATCCATCCATCCATCCATCCATCCGTTTGTTCGTTCCATCCATCCATCCATCCGTTTGTTCGTTCCATCCATCCATTTGTTCGTTCCATCCATCCATTTGTTCATGCCCTCCCTCCCTCCCTCCCTCCCTCCCTCCCTCTCCACAGCCACCTCTTCTAGCTCTTCTGGGAGGACTCCAAGGTGTTCCCAGACCAGCAGAGACATGGTCTCTCCTGGGTCTTCCCCAAGGTCTCCTCCTAGTTGGACATGTCCAGAACACCTCTGACAGCCAGCATCCATCCTCACCAGATGTCTGAACCACCTCAACTGGCTCCTCTGGATGTGGAAGAGCAGCGGCTCTACTCAGAGTCTAACTGAACTTCTCGTTGTATCTCTACCAAGAGGTGGGATGGTGATGGACTTCGCTGTAACACAGAGTGACTGACAGCAGGGAGAACTGTGGGTAAATTTCAGGACTTGGTGATCCCGGAGCCAAACACAAGGCATCAAAGAACGTCTTTCCATCCGTTTTCCATTCATGTCTCCATTCAGCGCAGAAAAAAAAGGCACAACTTTCACAAACAACAACAAAAAAAAAACTTTATTGGAGAATACCAACAGATGTTGATGCAACAATCTTCACAATGCAGAATGGTATATTTATATATAATGCAATCCTACTTACTAAGTTAGTGCTTAAAGACTTTACCGTTCATGATCTTCCACTTAAACAGAAGTCACACTATATTTATTTATATATATATATATGTCAAGAATAAACAGCTCAATAAATAAGTAAGCATTCCACTAACACAACAATTGTCATAATTGTGTGAACACTATATTTATATTTTTGTTTGTTCAGAGTTGCATTAAACTGAATGAAAGGAATGAACAATCAAGGCATGTAGCACACCAAAAAGCCGTACAGCGAATGCACTCGAGAGATCTAGAAATACACTCAACAACCCCAGCTCCAGAAACATGGTGTAAAAACAGAACGCAAAGATTGCAAATCAATGCAGTCCATCCAATGCAACATAGCAAACATTTCCTATATTTAATCGAAAAAACTGGATAATTTATGGGGGAAATAAGTTACATTTTGAATTTTGGGGCAGCAACACGTCTTAAAAAAAATTGGAAAAGGGGCAAAGGCTGTAAACATGTTGCGAATAGGAACCAGCTGGAAGAGCATTTAGAATAAAAAAAGAGTTTAATTGGCATAAAGTCAGTAAAAGGACTGGGAATAAAAAGAGCGTTTTAAAAAGGCTGAACCTAAAAGACGTGAAGATGGGCAGAGGTTCACCAGTCTGTGAACAACTGTGTAAAATTAGTGGAACAATTTCAGAAAAATGTCCCTCAATGAAAACAGACGACTTCGAATAGCTCATCATCCCCAGAACATGTCAAACTGTACAGCAGTCCCTGGATACTTCGCGGGTCGACTTTTGCGGACTCGGCTCGTTCGCGGGTTTTCCACATAAGATTGTACACGACACACGATTGGCTGATTGATGGAAGTGACCAGTGAGGAAAATAAGTATTTGAACACTCTGCGATTTTGCAAGTTCTCCCACTACTTCTGGGATTTTCATCTATCGCTGGGTGTCTGGAACGTAACCCCCACCATAAGTGAGGGACTACTGTATTAGAACTGGTCCGCCAATCGGTGAATGTCTTTACTGCTTCTCATTTTGTTAAAAAAAAAAAGCAGAGATAACTTTTAACAAATGCTCTCTAGCAACTGGCCGACACAGAAGCAGAGAAAGGAATGACGTTCTTGGTTATCTTTGATTTTGACGTTAAGAGGGACCAAAGAAAATCTAAATGTGACGGATCAAACTGCTGCTGACGAACCTGCAGCCAAGAGAGGAAGTCGAGTATCTGACTCCAGCTCTTTGACAAATAAGTCGTTTGAAATTCCAAATATTACATCATTTGGTAAAGATACTGTAATTGACATGTTCCCTCTGAAAGCCCTCAGGACCAACAGCTCCTTGTGTCCTGTCAAATTTAAAATGGCTATTTTAACCTTTGATACGTTTAGTATGTTCCACTGCGAGTGAAATACGGCTTTTGTGATGTTTGAAATCTTTGCGTTCAGATTTTTACATTTTCATCGTTTTCGGAATCGAGGTTGTACGGTGAGACGTTAAGCTCGTTCAGTTTGTTAAATCTTGTAAATAACACAGACTGTGATGGGACACGCTTACTGTTGGTGTCCAAAAAACACACAAAACAATTACGATCCACCCAAGTGACAATGTTTACAATAACCGTGTAAAAAAAAAAAAAAAAAAAAGGCAACACACTTCATTACACTTTGTATCCATAGTGAGAGAGGGCACTGGAACATACACAAACACAGAAAATAAAAATAAAAATAACTCCACGTTGCTAACTCCAATGCTAGCTTTTACTCCCCCAGCAGATCGAGGCATTTCTGGGTATTTATGGCCATAAATTTAAAATCCATCACATGTAACTGAGCAACATCTCAGGTGTCTGATGTTTGTGCTTAATGCTCCATTTTGTTTCTGAAGTCATGCTGGCTTTACGACAGCCATCACAGTTACCGTTATGAACACAATTAAACCAAGGACACTGCGGCTTGTTGCCGTGGCAACAGCATCTTTATGTGGTTCGACAACTTTGCTGTCTGATTCATCTCGATTGGACTTTCACAACACATTACTGTATTTATATTCAGCCACGGACAAATGAAAAGCTTCTTAAAAAATGTAAACAATATTAATACAAAATTAATGAAAACATCTAAATCAAAATAATAAAAATTGGCAACGTTCCCTTCTCTTTTCTCACCGCCAAGGCAGAACGTTCTTGATATTTACTGTACCGCTTGTATCTTAACTGCTTTTCCAGCACTTGATTGTAGGAATTAGTTTTTTTTTTTTTTTTAAAGAAACGGAAAAGCAGGAAAAATACAACTTAAAGCAAAGATAGCAGGTGGCTAAATACAGACACTCAGTTGGCAACTAAACTCCAGGTCACCTTTCGGCTGTGTTTGGGTCAAACCATCAGCTTGGTGTGAAATAAAGCA